TGTCACTGCTATTGTACTATGAGATACCATCCTTCATTTCTCCAATTTGGGTACCTATTTATATCTCCAATACTGGATTTTTAAGATTGCATGAAAAAAGACATGCAAGTAAAGCTTACAATCAACTTTAAAGGAAAGTATTTAGATTTGACAATTTTTGTGTTGTTATTTATATAAAATGAATAAACGTTAAATATATATTTATATAAAGGCAAATATAAACAATGGTCTGAGATAATTATCAATTTGACCCTGGCTAAACACAGCTTTGTGGAAAGGCTCCTCTGCTTCAACCCAGCCAGGGCTCCTCCTGGTCCATCTTCATGCTCTGACATTTGCACTCAATCTCAGGTGGAGAACAAGCATTCAAGGAACACTGGTATTCACCAGAAAGGCTTTGGCTGTTTTGACAACACCATCTGCTTTATCAGTAGCCACAATCAGTTTTCAGGGACACTAAGAGAGAGTTAACAGAACTGCACAGAGAGGTCTCAGGGGCAGCTCACTGTTGCCTGCTTTGTTTTGATACTCAGCCACCTCTGTGTAGATGTTGAACACAGGTCAAGAGCTTGTTAACCTTGTCTGCACTTCTAGAGTCATTTTCAATCTCTACAGGGGAAAACAGCATCCATAATATTTGATGCAGGATTTTTATATAGTGACAAAATAAGTAAAAAGGGCAATGAACATAAAATATGCCCCACCTTTCTTAAGGAAATCAATAGTGGCTTTTTCTATTAAAGAGATTAAACCTTTCCAATCTTCTGCCTCTGAAAATTTAACTGTTAAATTTGATTCTCTGTCAGCCTGAGGGTCTGATGTCTCTTCTCTCTAGAAAGAATAGCAGTAGCTAGAGTACAAAGGTGTTTTTTTAAGAAAGGAAAGTTGAAGCACATTTTCTCCCTTGTAATATTTCCTAAACCAGATGTGATAGTCCACTTTTGACAGCCCCTGCTGGGAGGCACTGAAGCAGTGGACACACTACACAGCTTCTGATGCTGTAGCCCTGAGGTCCAGCATGACTGAGACCCACTGCAGAGGTGGACAGCAGGAGAGATGCAGGCACAGGGACAGAGATGGTAGGTGGGTAGGGGGTAGTAGGTGGATGATAGACAGAGGACAGAGACATGATAGACAGATAGACTTCCTGTCCATGAAATCCTAACCTGTTGGCAGATGAAGGCTGAGCTATTTGGAAAATTTGAGATCTTTCCCATGAACTGAAATCACACCTTCTATCCTGTCAGCCTCTGTGGACAAAGTGAAGCAAGGAATGGACACAAACAGCTGCAGTGAAGACAGGGGCAAGATTTTCTGAGAGGACAGAGGAGAGAGGGGTCAGTGAGGGAGAGGCTCTGCCACTGTTCCAGAGCCCAGAACCCCAAGAACACAGAGGAACAGGGATCCAGTCTGCTCCACATCCTGGGCCTGTCCCACCCGCTGTCTTACTCTTCTCTAGGCACTTGTGTACGTTTCATGGCAACAGCCTGGCGCATGTTTAACTTGGGGAATTGGTGGCAATTTTGGTAGATGAACACACAGCCAACTTATTAGCCAGCAGCACCCAGGAATTGCTGACCTTGTTCCACCTTTCACAGAGTCTCTGAGGTCCTACTCTTCTTATTTCCTCCTAGGTACAGACTGACAATCCAGGGTCTCCGGGTCTCTTCCTAACATCACACAATTGATCTGAGGGAGGGTGGTGTCCCACCCCAGGGGCAACAGAGCACCTCACTGCCTCAGTGTCCTTGGAAAGCAGTGTCCTCCCTCTGTCGTGGGCAGCTCGGATCTGGTCCACCACTGTGTGTGTCATCAGGGAGAAATGAACATGCTCAAGACACTTGCTTCCAGAATTGCTGCGACCTCAGGAGTGACCCCCATGTGAAGCAAGGACAGCCTTTCTCCCTCTGCAAAGTAGCAGTCTCAGGACAATTAATGCATCTTCCTACCACATCTGAAGCATAAGAAGAAATATATAACATTATATGTACATAAATAATTGGAAATAAAAACATATTTCTTAAGATGTTGCAGCAAATAAATTCTATATGAAAATTCGAAGATGAGAACACATTTCTATTTGTCAGAAAAACAGGTGATAGAGAAAGATGAGGAAATGCCATGAGGACCTAACAGAGCACCTCAACAGCAGGTCAGCAAGCCCAGCACAGCCATAGCCCTGAGCTCCAGGGCCACCTGCCTGGCTCAACTCACCTCAGAGGAGGCTGTGTCTCACCCAGATGGTCAGGGAGTGTGGCCTGGCTAAGTCACCAGGAAGAGGAGGGTGGCATCACTCCTGGTTTAGGATGCTCACAGGGGACTGGATGAGACATGTTTGTTCACACATCCTCTGGGGCCCAGAAGACACTGCAGTTAGAGCTAAGGAAGCAGCAGAGCTCTCTGGGGCACAGCTCTGGGTCATCCTCATCCTGTCCTGTCTCCCTCTTTGTTCAACTCCAGAGTTCACCAATGTTAACAATCCTCTCCACTCTCACACTGTCTACAATGCCTGACCAGTGATATGTAGGAGGAGTTAGTCTGGATTGGTTTATCAACCACACTATGTGTGAGTGTGTGTGTGTGTTTGTGTAAGAAAAGCATCTACTCCTCAGTGACCTGGAAGCCTGGAAGGAGTCCTCCTCACAGGTCCACCTCACTCTTTTACATCCCTGATGTCCTCCTTGTTTCCTGTCATTCACTGGCCATCTAGTTCATTGTAATTTAGAATTTATTTTTAAGGTATTTCTTTTTATTTCAACTACTGACATAAAAATTATTGAGAAGTCTCAAAACAAACTGTTTCATTGAAAATTTAAATGTTTACTGTAATATATTCACCCAGATAAAAATCATGCTTTAAATGTTAAGAGTGGAGGTGTAGCTCAGGGATTATGGCTCCTGCTGAGCATGCAAGAAGCCCTGAGTTCAATAACTAGCTCTGCAGTAAAATGAAATAAATTATATCCTGCCTACAAACTACAAGTGCTTCAAATATCTGTTCAGTGTACACTTGTTGTAGCAACTACAGTGAAATAGAGGAAGACAGAAGCAAGATCCTTCAACATCTATTTTTTAATAGTTCCTTCTCAAAATTTGCAGTGAAATTCTTCTCAACTTTTTTTTAATCTATGTCTGAAACAATGCTTATTATTTACCCTGCCATGGAGGTCTTGTGACAGCCTTGGTCCACACACACACACTGTTGGCCAGACTGCCACCTGAGCTGTACCTATCTGTGACCTGCAGGACTTCAGCCTATAGATGGCTTATTCTGCCTCCTTGCCCCTTGGTTTCCTGTAACACTGTGGTATTCAGTCCTGGAGTCCTCTCAAGTGTGGGAGAAACTAAGAAGCTGGGACTTTTCTCCCTGTCTGGAGATGGTCCAAGGCAGCTGAAGCACCTGGGCACATCAGGAACCCTGTTGGCTCCAGGCTCCAGCATCCAGAAGGCATTTTGTGTTCCAGCAGCCCTGCAGGACTTGGGCACCTGGGTAGCTATGGCGTTGTGCCTGTGGCTGGGCATACAGTTTCCACACTCAGTAGAGAGCATACAGCAGATGCAGAGGGAGGAATGGGGTCCTTAGCTAACAAGCTCCCTTCTGATCCACCAGCCTCACTTTGGTCATGGCCACTTTGTAGCCAAATCCTTGCATGAAGTCTCTTCAGCTTGAAATTTGGGATGTTTTCTTTTGTTAAACTGATTTAACGTGGTTACTGTGTATCAGGTGATTTAAACAGGAATGTAGTCATTTCCTAAAGGTGGAGTTTTTCTATGCTCAAATCCATCGATTATAAACTGAGCTGAAATAAAAATGCTTATGCAGAAATCACTCTCTTAAAGACATCAACCAGTTGCACAGTTTATTTTGTAAAGTAATTCCCTGCAGGGAATAGTCATCCAAACATTTTGATATATAGCAATAAGTTGCTTTCTGTTAACCACCAAATCATACTACAACATCCAGCTGGAATATGGTATTTCTACACCAGCCTGGAATATGGTATTTTCCCACTTTACTCAATTTGTTAGAGTTATCATATTTGACTTGCATTTCTTGCTTACTAATATATCTATATGATTTACATGTTTATCCATGTAACTTCTACTTTATGGAATGACTATGTTCTTTGCACATTTTTTTCTAGTGAAATATTTTCTTCATAAATATATAGTGATATACAATGGTTTATATACGCAAAACAGTAACTGAGTAGTATGGACTACAACATTAAATTTCAGTGGTTATTTTCATCAGAATTTTCTAAAGTATTGTGTTTATTTTGACAAATTGAATGATTACTTTCAGTGTGATTCTGTTGGGAAATCTTTGTACATTTGTGGATCTTCTAAAACATCCCCTTTCAAATTTCTGTTGAATGAGATTGAGTTTGTTGTTGTTGTTGTTGTTTGTTTTGTTTTTTGCTTTTGTATAGTTAATTGCTGAGACAGCAATAATTTATTCATGTTTCACTATGCTGGGGACTGTTGGCATGGCCCCTTTCACATAGCTATGAACTTTCAAAGTTAAATATGCTTTTTTATCACTCACTCATTCAAAAAAATTTGGTTAACAACGTATACCTATTTATTCCAATACCGTATATTCCAGCTACTAGATTCGGTTTATTCAGTGAAGAGAAGACTCTGCATTGCAATCCAATAGCAAATACAGGCAATATGCTGAGGGATATGAAATGTAATTTCCTGGGTTCATAAATACAGTAAATGGCATTGTTTACAGAAATAAAATGTAGTGTCCTAAAACTATGGGGATGCCCTGAATTCTCCAAATAGCCAAAGAAGCCTTGACAAGAAGAACAGGGCTGAAGCATCCAGAATGCTCTATTTAAAGTGATTTTTACTACAATAATAAAACCACTGCAATGTCCTAAGTACAGAAGTGTGTATCAATGGAAATAAGAGCCCCCAAACACACCCACTCATGGTAGGCTATCAGTCATTGATGAGGGTCCCATGGATGAGGAGTGGGATAGAAGAGTCTGTTCAGTGAATGGCTCAGCAGAAGCTGCACATCTTCCTCAGGAGAACAGAAGTAAGTCCCTCTTACTCCACAAACACAATTTAAATCAAGTAGAATAAGGCTTAGGTGTAAAACAGGAAATTTTAATCTCTAAATAAATAAATAAATAACAAAGGAAAACAGTCCTTCACATGGTCTTGACAATGATATTCTGGACAACACCAGAAAACACAATCTACAACCTGTAAAAATTAAAATGAATGAATACAAGATGCTAGAAAGTTTTTGCACAGCAAAGAAAGACATCAACTAGATGCGCAAGCAGCCTACCCAACAGAAAACAATATTGGCCAACTGTATAACACATGAGGGGTTAAAATCCACACTACAAGAGCAACTCAAGCAACATGACAGTAAAAATCAAATAATTTAATTTAAAAATAGGCATTTTTCTGAATTGGACAGACAAGTGGCTAAAGGTTTATGGAAAGTTGCTGAGCATCATGGATCACCAGGAAGAGGCAATTAAAACCAGCTTGAGATAGCAGTTCACACACGTCAGAGTGGTTATTGACAAAACCACGAAGTCAGGCATTGCAGAACAAGTGGAGAACACAGAACGCTTGCACCCTGTAGAGGAATCGTATATTCTGGCAGCTATAATTGAAAGCTGCCTCAGCCTTCAACATCTACTAAAATGGGACTGCTAAGGGACTTGGTGACCCCATTTCTGGGTCTGTATCCAAATGTAGAGAAATAAGCTCCTCAAGAATATGTTCTCCATGTTTATTGTGTTGGTGCCCAGAGGAGGCAAGACATGGAAGCCAACTTCTTGTCTGGCAGAGGTGGATAGATGAGGAAGACATGGCATGTAGCTGTCTATATCTACAGGCATATAGACATATAGAATGGGTGCCACTCAGTCCGCAGAAGGAGATACTGCCACTGAGATCGCATGGGTGGAGAACTCCAGGCCAAGTAAATGAAGGCAGACACAGAAAGACCAGCTGTGCATGGCCTCAGGTCTATGTGGAATCTAAGTAGGAGGGACAGATGCAGAGAATAGGAGGTGGTCGCCAAGGGCTGGGGAGGTAGGGACACGTTGACAGGGAGGACAAGTTTTTAATTACAATGCAAATACATCTGGAATTATAAAACATAGCACAAGGACTTTAGTTAAGAGTACCATGTGGTATGTGTGAAATTTTTCATGAGAGTATATTTTAACTGTGCTCAGTGCAAAGATGTGAGTAAAGATGTGAGGTAATGAATGTGTTAGTTCACTCATTCCACTAATCACATTCATCATATCAAATTCTACAACTTTACATTTTATACCTACATATATACAAGCTATTCTCTTTATTCATTCCTCTCTATATTTGATAAGAATCAGTGGACTATAGCTAAACAGAATGAATCTTTCGTTATTTAACTCTTCGATGGTTATATATTTATATAGCATTTCAAGATTCAGAGAATTAGCAGGATAAAGATTACTTCTACTAATTCCCATGTACCCTTAACTTCCACACACCTACGAGGAACCCTGAATCTCCTATTGCTTCAAAAGATTTTTTCTGTCTCCACCTCATCAGTTGAACACTCATGACCACATCCTCTAATATCAACAATGTGTTTCCTAATAATAATATTTTTCCCCTAGAAAGAGGAAGTCCTTGTCAACTTAGGTAAATAAGGTGGATCCAGGGGAGCTGCATGAGGACTCTGAATGTACAAGCAGGGGACAGAGGAGGCTCATCCCTGAAGAGCATAGGGGTGCAGCACTGTGAAGTAGGAGCCCAGGAGACGGCACAAGGAGATCTTCATCATCTGACGTGGAGAGAGGAGAAACCATGGAATCCAAATCCCCTACTTTACTGTTTCCTGAAAGACTCAACACTCAACATTTTCCTCAGAGCCCCAGTGACATCCTTGTTCCTGAAACTGTAGATTAAGGGGTTCAGCACAGGGGTGAGAATGGTGTAAAACACAGACACCACCATGTCCTTCTGAGGGGTGTGGTAGGAGCTGGGGAGCATGTAGGTGTAGACGCCAGCACCATAGAAGAGTGTGACCACCATCATGTGTGAGGAGCAGGTGGCCAGGGCCTTCCTCCTGCCCTCTGCTGAGTTCATCCTGTGGATGGTGAGGAGGATGCAGGAATAGGAGCCTGAAATGATTGTCACAGGGATGAGGAGCATGAGGACACAGCACAGGTACATGAGTGTCTCATAGAGCGAGGTGTCTGAGCAGGAGAGCTTCATCACAGCAGGGACTTCACAGAAGAAGTGCTGGATCTCCCGGGATCTGCAGAATGGGTAGGTCATGGTGACAGGAGTCAACATGAAGCCATCCACTGATCCCAGGAACCAGCAGCCAGATGCCAGGAGGAGACACACTCTATGGTTAATGAGGACTGGATAGCGAAGTGGATGGCAGATGGCCATGTAGCGGTCATAGGCCATGGCTGCCAAGAGGAAAAACTCAGAACCTACTAGTGTCACATAGAGGAACATTTGCATCCCACATTCAGGGACTGAGATGGTACTCACACCCAGCACCTGGTCCAGAAGCATCTTGGGCACAGTGATGGAGATGGACATCATGTCCATGAGGGACAGCTGGCTGATGAAGAAGTACATGGGGGTGTGGAGTTTGGCACTGGAGTGTATCAGAATGATCAGGACAGCATTTCCAGACAAGGCCATCAGGAAAACCAGAAAAATGACCACACAAAGCAGGGCTGGGTGTTGAGATTGCCTGAAGAGTCCCACCAGGATGAAATCTGCCCACCCTGTGTGGTTGGACATCCAGGTGGTGATGTCCATGAGGCTCCACCTTGGCCACCAAGAAAGCTTTGAGTGAATGTTGTACAGAGGGCTGAAGTGACTTCTTAGCTGCCTCACACCTGTGCACCAGCCTGACTATGCCAACCAGAGAATGTTCCAGAACCTGCAGATCCTAGCACTCCAGATGACCTGTAGTAAACAATATTTTTAAAAAAGTATCTAAAAGCTCACCTGTGGGTGAAGTGAGTTGATAACTTGTAGTGAGGTTGCAACAGTTCAAGTTCATGAGCTTCCTGAAAAAAGCAGTTTGTCAATGACAAGTGCATATTTTCAGGATCATTGCTCAAAAAAGTAGGGGACATTTGTAAACAAATTCCTGAGTTTAATTTATTCAAATGTGAAATAAGTGTTAATATTTCTGGTTTAACAATCTGGTTTTAGCTGACATCCAAAGACTCTCAGATCTTTTAAAAAGTTGCTGAGACATAATTTGTGGAAAGCACATTTAACATTTGAACCCCACAAGCCTATAGGACCAGGACATGCTGGGAGGTTCTGTGAGTCTGAGATGACTCTGCTGTTCTCTCCAGCACACTGCAGTCTTCACACAGGACCAAATCTTTTGAGACCTGAGGAGCACCCACCCATAAAGATCCAAGGTCATGACTGGTTTTAAACCTTGACTCTTGCTACCTCTGAACTCCCCTTCCTTGTCCCCTCTGCCTGAGACATAATAAGAATAATACCTGACCCCAGGTGTGCTGAGTTTGAAGTAAGGCAAAGAAATGAATGTTTCCTGAATTCTGACTTTCACAAATGAAGAAACAGGCATGCTGTTGATTGACATCTGCACTACCCAGTCTTCAGAACCTGTCCTAGACCTGGTTGTCACTGCTATTGTACTATGAGATACCATCCTTCATTTCTCCAATTTGGGTACCTATTTATATCTCCAATACTGGATTTTTAAGATTGCATGAGAAAAGACATGCAAGTAAAGCTTACAATCAACTTTAAAGGAAAGTATTTAGATTTGACAATTTTTGTGTTGTTATTTATATAAAATGAATAAACTCTAAATATATATTTAAATAAAGGCAATTATAAACAATGGTCTGAGATAGTTATCAGTTTGACCCTGACTAAACACAGCTTTGCGGAAAGGCTCCTCTGCTTCAGCCCAGTCAGGGCTCCTCCTGGTCCATCTTCAAGCTCTGTCATTTGCACTCAATCTCAGGTGGAGAACAAGCATTCAAGGATCACTGCTATTCACCAGAAAGACTTTGGCTGTTTTGCAAATACCATCTGCTTTATCAGTAGCCACAATCAATTTTCATGGAAATTGAGAGACAGTGAGTTAACAAAACCATACAGACAGGTCTTGGAGGTAGGTCACATTTGTCTGCTTGGCCTTGATGCTCAGCCACCTCTCTGTAGATGCTAGACACTGTTAAAGGGCATGTTAACCTGGCCTGCACTTCCAGAGGTCATTCTACTTCTCTACAGGGAAAACACCACCCAAAATATTTGAGGCAGCATTTTTATATAGTGACAAAATAAGTAAAAAGGGCAATGTCCACCTTTCTTAGGGTAATCAATAATGGCTTTTTTAATGTTTTCTATTAAAGAGATTAAATCTTTGCAATCTTCTGTCTCTGAAAGCTTATCTGTTAAATTTGATTTTTTATCAGCCTAAGAGTCTCATGTCTCTTCTCTCTAGAAAGACTAGCAGTAGCTACAATTCAGAGGTTATTTTATTTTAAGAAAGAAAAGTTGAAGCACATTTTCTCCCTTGTAGTGTTTCCTAAATCAGATGTGATAATCCACTTTTGACAGCCCCTGCTCGGAGGCACTGAAGCAGTGTACACAATACATGGCTTCTGATGCTGTAGCCCTAGGGTGCAGCATGACTGAGACCCATTGCAGAGGTGGACAGCAGGAGAGATGCAGGCACAGGAATAGAGATGATAGGTGGGTAGGGGGTAGTAGGTGGGTGATAGACAGAGGAGAGAGACATGATAGACAGATAGACTTCCTTTCCATGAAATCCTAACCTGTTGGCAGGTGAAGGCTGAGCTTTTTGGAGAATTTGAGATCTTTCCCATGAACTGAAATCACATCTTCTGTCCTGTCAGCTCTGTGGACAAAGTGAAGCAAGGAATGGACACAAACAGCTGCAGTGAAGACAGGGGCAGGATTTTCTGAGAGGACAGAGGAGAGAGGGGTCAGTGAGGGAGAGGCTCTGCCACTGTTCCAGAGCCCAGAACCCCAAGAACACAGAGGAACAGGGATCCAGTCTGCTCCACATCCTGGGCCTGTCCCACCCGCTGTCTTACTCTTCTCTAGGCACTTGTGTACGTTTCATGGCAACAGCCTGGCGCATGTTTAACTTGGGGAATTGGTGGCAATTTTGGTAGATGAACACACAGCCAACTTATTAGCCAGCAGCACCCAGGAATTGCTGACCTTGTTCCACCTTTCACAGAGTCTCTGAGGTCCTACTCTTCTTATTTCCTCCTAGGTACAGACTGACAATCCAGGGTCTCCGGGTCTCTTCCTAACATCACACAATTGATCTGAGGGAGGGTGGTGTCCCACCCCAGGGGCAACAGAGCACCTCACTGCCTCAGTGTCCTTGGAAAGCAGTGTCCTCCCTCTGTCGTGGGCAGCTCGGATCTGGTCCACCACTGTGTGTGTCATCAGGGAGAAATGAACATGCTCAAGACACTTGCTTCCAGAATTGCTGCGACCTCAGGAGTGACCCCCATGTGAAGCAAGGACAGCCTTTCTCCCTCTGCAAAGTAGCAGTCTCAGGACAATTAATGCATCTTCCTACCACATCTGAAGCATAAGAAGAAATATATAACATTATATGTACATAAATAATTGGAAATAAAAACATATTTCTTAAGATGTTGCAGCAAATAAATTCTATATGAAAATTCGAAGATGAGAACACATTTCTATTTGTCAGAAAAACAGGTGATAGAGAAAGATGAGGAAATGCCATGAGGACCTAACAGAGCACCTCAACAGCAGGTCAGCAAGCCCAGCACAGCCATAGCCCTGAGCTCCAGGGCCACCTGCCTGGCTCAACTCACCTCAGAGGAGGCTGTGTCTCACCCAGATGGTCAGGGAGTGTGGCCTGGCTAAGTCACCAGGAAGAGGAGGGTGGCATCACTCCTGGTTTAGGATGCTCACAGGGGACTGGATGAGACATGTTTGTTCACACATCCTCTGGGGCCCAGAAGACACTGCAGTTAGAGCTAAGGAAGCAGCAGAGCTCTCTGGGGCACAGCTCTGGGTCATCCTCATCCTGTCCTGTCTCCCTCTTTGTTCAACTCCAGAGTTCACCAATGTTAACAATCCTCTCCACTCTCACACTGTCTACAATGCCTGACCAGTGATATGTAGGAGGAGTTAGTCTGGATTGGTTTATCAACCACACTATGTGTGAGTGTGTGTGTGTGTTTGTGTAAGAAAAGCATCTACTCCTCAGTGACCTGGAAGCCTGGAAGGAGTCCTCCTCACAGGTCCACCTCACTCTTTTACATCCCTGATGTCCTCCTTGTTTCCTGTCATTCACTGGCCATCTAGTTCATTGTAATTTAGAATTTATTTTTAAGGTATTTCTTTTTATTTCAACTACTGACATAAAAATTATTGAGAAGTCTCAAAACAAACTGTTTCATTGAAAATTTAAATGTTTACTGTAATATATTCACCCAGATAAAAATCATGCTTTAAATGTTAAGAGTGGAGGTGTAGCTCAGGGATTATGGCTCCTGCTGAGCATGCAAGAAGCCCTGAGTTCAATAACTAGCTCTGCAGTAAAATGAAATAAATTATATCCTGCCTACAAACTACAAGTGCTTCAAATATCTGTTCAGTGTACACTTGTTGTAGCAACTACAGTGAAATAGAGGAAGACAGAAGCAAGATCCTTCAACATCTATTTTTTAATAGTTCCTTCTCAAAATTTGCAGTGAAATTCTTCTCAACTTTTTTTTAATCTATGTCTGAAACAATGCTTATTATTTACCCTGCCATGGAGGTCTTGTGACAGCCTTGGTCCACACACACACACTGTTGGCCAGACTGCCACCTGAGCTGTACCTATCTGTGACCTGCAGGACTTCAGCCTATAGATGGCTTATTCTGCCTCCTTGCCCCTTGGTTTCCTGTAACACTGTGGTATTCAGTCCTGGAGTCCTCTCAAGTGTGGGAGAAACTAAGAAGCTGGGACTTTTCTCCCTGTCTGGAGATGGTCCAAGGCAGCTGAAGCACCTGGGCACATCAGGAACCCTGTTGGCTCCAGGCTCCAGCATCCAGAAGGCATTTTGTGTTCCAGCAGCCCTGCAGGACTTGGGCACCTGGGTAGCTATGGCGTTGTGCCTGTGGCTGGGCATACAGTTTCCACACTCAGTAGAGAGCATACAGCAGATGCAGAGGGAGGAATGGGGTCCTTAGCTAACAAGCTCCCTTCTGATCCACCAGCCTCACTTTGGTCATGGCCACTTTGTAGCCAAATCCTTGCATGAAGTCTCTTCAGCTTGAAATTTGGGATGTTTTCTTTTGTTAAACTGATTTAACGTGGTTACTGTGTATCAGGTGATTTAAACAGGAATGTAGTCATTTCCTAAAGGTGGAGTTTTTCTATGCTCAAATCCATCGATTATAAACTGAGCTGAAATAAAAATGCTTATGCAGAAATCACTCTCTTAAAGACATCAACCAGTTGCACAGTTTATTTTGTAAAGTAATTCCCTGCAGGGAATAGTCATCCAAACATTTTGATATATAGCAATAAGTTGCTTTCTGTTAACCACCAAATCATACTACAACATCCAGCTGGAATATGGTATTTCTACACCAGCCTGGAATATGGTATTTTCCCACTTTACTCAATTTGTTAGAGTTATCATATTTGACTTGCATTTCTTGCTTACTAATATATCTATATGATTTACATGTTTATCCATGTAACTTCTACTTTATGGAATGACTATGTTCTTTGCACATTTTTTTCTAGTGAAATATTTTCTTCATAAATATATAGTGATATACAATGGTTTATATACGCAAAACAGTAACTGAGTAGTATGGACTACAACATTAAATTTCAGTGGTTATTTTCATCAGAATTTTCTAAAGTATTGTGTTTATTTTGACAAATTGAATGATTACTTTCAGTGTGATTCTGTTGGGAA